CACATGGTTGCCTTAAGGACATTTGTTTCTAAGGAATCCCCTTAGCAATAATGTCCATCCCGATGATAATCCTTAGGATAGGTCCCTTATGATAGATGCTTAGGGACGTAATATGAGGATAACGAGAACGGGTAATCGGGTTTGTTTAATTTAATGAAGTTAATAAACTGATTTATTGTGGGTTGAAAACCCTATGTGCTCACCAGGCTCCCAAGCCTGACCCGCTCAGTTTTATGTATTACAGGTAGTGGCGCTTGAGCATATATATGATGTTTGGACGAGGGATTACGGATATAGGTCTGTAGATATGAAATAATGTAGTAAGGCTTGTATTGTACTGTTTATGCTTTTGATCTATACGAACATGACATCCCGAGTCTTTTAATGAAATACATTTCTATGGAAATGCTTTTGATAAATCTTTATCATATTATTGTTTTGGGACAAATTCCGCAACACTTTTATTTAAAATGTTACTATGATTTTTAAACAAATCATAAACAAACCGGTCTTTTCTGGTCGTGATTTTGGGGATGTCACAGTTCACGACCCATCTTCGCTCCGCGTTCTGCTGCTGGCTTCTGGTGGACTTCCTGGATGTACACTAAATTCCTGATAATGGTGGTGCGGCTACGATGGCGAGATATTGGTGACGGAGGCGGGCTTCAATAACGACGGGAATGTTAGAAACTTAATGCAAGCATAATAAAAGACCATTTCCCATTGCCTTTTGTTGATCAAATGTTAGAAAGGTTGGTCGGGAAATCTCATTATCATTTTCTAGACGGGTATTTCGGTTTTCACCAAATCCCAGTGGCACCGAAAGACCAAGAAAAGACAACCTTTACATGTTCATTTGGCACTTTTGCATACCGAAGAATTTCATTTGGATTGTGTAATGCCCGGGCTACTTTCCAATGTTGTATGGTTAGTATTTTCTTAAAATATGTCAATAACATAATTGAAGTTTTTATGGATGATTTTATAGTATATGGAAACTCCTTTCAAGAGTGTTTGACCAACCTCACAAAGATTCTAAAAAAATGCATTGAGACAAATTTGGTTTTAAATTTTCAAAAATGCGATTTTATGGTAAGTTAAGGTCTTATTTTCGTTCACATTATGTCAGAGAAAGGAATCGAGATAGATAAAGGTACAATTGATGTTATTCAAATCTTACCTTACCCGATTTATGTTCGAGAAGTTCGTTCTTTTTTAGGTCATGCGGGTTTCTACCGAAGGTTCATCAAATATTTTTCGAAGATAACAAGACCAATGGGCCAACTCTTGCAAAAAAAAAAGGTAGATTTCGAGTTCAATGAGGTTTGCAAAGAGGCTTTTGAAAAACTCAAGGAGTTGTTTACATCCACCCCCATCATACTAGCACCGAGTTGGGATCTCCCCTTTGAGATCATGTGTGATGCAAGAAACTATGCTATAGGCGTCGTTTTGGGTCAAAAGAATGGAAGAGCCTCTCATGTGATCTATTATGAATCAAGAGCACTAGACAATGCTCAAAGCAATTACTCTACCACGGAAAAGGAGCAATTAGCCATAGTGTTCGCTTTAGAGAAGTTTAGGTAGTATCTATTTGGTACCAAAGTCATTGTGTATTTAGATCATGCGGCTCTCAAGTATTTGATGACAAAGAAAGATGCAAAGCCATGACTTATCCGGTGGATTTTACTATTGCAAGAATTTGATTTGGAAATTTAGGACAAGAGTGGATGCGAAAATCTTGTTGTCAACCATCTAAGCTGGATCACTTCAAATGAAACTCCTCTCCCATTGTAGGCCAAGTTTCCGGATGAGCATCTCTCTTCCCTTACTCAATCTATACATTGGTATACCGATACCATTAACTTTTTGGTCACAAAATGTATCACGACACATTCACATTTGCTCAAAAAGATAAATTGAAAAGTGATGCAAAATACTATGTGTGGGATGAACCTTATTTGTGGAAACATTCTCCTAATTAAATCATTAGGAGATATGTACCCTAGCAAGAACATCAATCCATTTTACAACTTTGTCATGAATTTGCTTGTGGTGGACACTTCAGGCCTAATCAAAATTTGAGAAAAGTTCTTGTATGTGGATAATTTTGGCCAACCATGTCAAGTGATTGTTATTTATTTTGTAAAAGTTGTGAACAGTACCGAAGGACGGGGAATGTTTCTCAAAAGAAGAAAATGCCACAAAATCCAATCCTTGTTTGTGAAGTTTTTGATGTATGAGGGATTGATTTTAAGGGCCTATTTCTCATTTTATTTGGCAACATTTACATCTTACTCACGTTGGATTATGTATCTAAATGGGTTTTGGCCCAAGCCACAACATCAGATGATGCCAAAACGGTTATCAAAATTTTAAAGTCTAATGTTTTTGTGAGATTTGATGTGCCTAAGGTATTGATTAGTATAGAGGGATGCATATTTGCAACAAAATGATGGAGGCTTTATTTAGGAAGTACAATGTGACCCACTACGTTTCTACCACCTACCATCCCTAAACGAACAGTCAAGTGGGGGTTTCAAATCAGGAAATGAAGTCCATCCTTGAGAAAAATGATGAACCTAACAATAAAGTATTGGAGTTTAAGGCTTAGTAATGCCTTATGGTCCTACCAAACCGCTTACAAGACCCCGATAGGCATGTCTCCGTTTAGATTGGTTTTTGGAAAAGCCATGTCATCTTCCCGTGGAACTAGAACACCATGCATTTTAGGCAGTTAAGCAATTCAACTTCAACATTGACGAAGCGGACGATGTAAGAAGCTTCAACTTCAAGAGTTAGAAGAATTAAGAAATGATTCTTATGAAAACACAAGGATTTACAAGGAGAAAACAAAGCTTTTCCATGACAAGTCCATCACCCGGAAGCACTTTGAACCAGGACACGTGGTCTTACTTTACCATTCACGATTGAAATTATTTCCAGGCAAGTTAAGATCAAGATGGATTAGGGCATCTCTTTTAATCAAAACTTTTGATCATGGAGCGGTAGAGATCCAAAGTGAAGAAACAAGACAAAATTTCAAAGTCAATGGGCACCGTTTGAATCCATTCTATGAAAGTTTCAATGAAAATGCTCTTGAAATCATCCATTTGGATCTACCGAGGTGTTAAATCAAGCTAGGAGGACATCTTGCCAAAGACGTTAAAGAGGGGCATTTTTGGAAAGCATTGTGATTTCGTGTATTTAAATTCGAATAAAGAAGTTTTGAAGATGTTTTAGAGTTCCATTTTGAGTTATCTTTAAAGAAACCAAGTTTTCCAAGTGTTAATTCTTCAAATGCAAGCTAAGAGTACCAACAAGATGAAGTGAAACAAAGCCGCAGACTGCGAACAGCATGCACCTGCGTGTATGTGTGTACCCCCTTAGCGCAACTCCTATGCGCGGCCGCGTGCATCTGTACAGATGGTCTTTGCGGGTAGAGCTAATTAGGTGGAATAAGTTCTAAATCAAGATTTATACTAATATGGTTGCGCGTCCGCGTGGCCCCTCTGCACGACCCGCGCGTCAACATGATGAACTTCCTCTTTTTGTTGACCTGGCTTTGACCTTTGTTGACCAAGGGTTTTAATGAACTAACTTTTTGACTTTCCTTGACCAACACTTGACCTAAGTTTACTGGAAGATTAAACAATTTATTCTTTTTTTCTTTCTTCTTCATTCCTCTAACGTGTTCTTCCCTTCCACCATTCTTTCTCTCGAGAACTTAAGCTTTCAAGCACCCACTTCATCGAAAAAATCCATTTTCCCGTTGAACCGGCGGTCGGAATTCAGCGAAATTTGCACCAATCTCTTAGTTTTTCAAGGCTCTAAAAACCCCACCTAAAAAATTCTCCGATCTTCTGCCGGAATTGGGGGTGCCACCACGACCATCTCGTTGTTTTGCGGTCATTTCTCGTGATTCCGACACCACCAAAGTATTTCTTTTTCCAAGCTCTATACATCCAACCAAACAAAACTGAAAAATCTCACAAAAAATTTTGAGCCACCATCGGCCACCACCAGGTTTTTGTAAGAATCAAGTTGGAAAGTTTGTCTTGTTGAAGGACTCTTGCATTTTGGCACCCATGAACAACTACTAAGCATGGGGTGCAAAAGAGCGAATTGCGTGAAGTTCAATTTTTGGGGATGAAAAACAATTAAATCGGGTGTACTCTTTCCTTGGTTTTATTTACATTGCATACTCTAATTTGATAATTGCAACCGAATATGTTTTGGAAAAATTTCCTAGGAGTATTAGTTATTACCCGAATTATTTAAAAAGACTGGTTTGAGAATTGTTGACTTTGATCAATTTTGCTTGGACACTTTATTAAAAAAATTTCAAGCTTTGGTTGGAATTTGTTGAATTTGACTAGAAGTGCTGCCAAATTTTAGTTGGAATTGTCAAACGGGATCGGGTGGTGTTGTTTAAAATTGTTTCGAGTTGTCAAAAGTTGGGTGCAATTATTTATTGGAATTGTTTGTGTTTGGTTTAAACATTGTTATATTAATTTTAAAATTGATGAGAAGAGTGATTACTTTTTGGATTGGTTTTGTTATTGCAGGTTTTAAGAAGGCAAAAAACTGCAACTCGGGCATGTACCCACAGATCATCTGTTGATCCTTACCCGATACAGGATGTTGACGATACTTCACGAAAAGCCGCTGGGAAACAAAAGAAAGGCGATAATGAGGAAAGAGGTCCTTCCATCACAAAAGCAGAAATAAAAACATATCGCTCCAACCTTCGTGGACGTATAATCCGACCCACAAAGTTCTACCACAAGGAATCAATGACTAAGCCTGGGGTACACAACAGTGTAGCAACTTCATTCCACATAATTTTTTGGCGTGATTTTCTTAATCTTTGTGATAGAACCTATGAAGATCCAACGCTAGAATTCCTGCCCACCTTTGCTAAAGATGATGAAACCAAATTCCTTGCCTTCCAATTACAGGGTTAACATCATCGGCTCTCATACCCATGGTTAAAGTCTATCATGGGAGTCGTTCTTGCAAACTGCACGACCCCCCATTCTCACGAGTACATCAGCTTCCTGCATTTCCCCAACGCACATTGTTGTTCACAAATAACCAGTCTCGACACTTTCATTCTGAGCCGACAAAGGGCCAAACATATAGTTCATACTTGTTGGCAAATTGCCCATCGAGTTCTCACCACAACCATCTTCGGTCGCCTCGAGCCAGGTCAAACAAATAGATGCGAGCTCTTCTTCTTAGATAGCATGTCACGGGTGGATGCCCTGATTTCTCTACATTCTTCCTCGATAAATGTGAGGTCGTCCATCAACACACCACATGAGAGATCCATATCGGGGGGCTTATTACTATCATAGGTCGAGTTGTCGGCTTATACTTCCCTGCCCCCGATTACTTGCCCTTCGACAATCTCAAGCCTAACTTCCTACTTGATTGTTACGCTCTTGAGAGAGCAGAGATGTTGGAAAGTCGGGGTAATGACTTGTATAGTTGGCTTGATGGTAATAAGCATCCGATTTACATCCTCCCCAGCTGTATTGGTGATTCATTCTTACCAGATGACCCCGCCACTTGGCTTCCTCCAGATCAGTTGACTCCAGCATGTGTACTACCCGAGTCTGAGGATGAGGAACAAAGAGGATGAAGAAGATGAAGAAGAGATGCCCGAGGAAAAAGACCATTTTGACCAGCCTCCGATGTATCAGCAGGACCATTTTCAGGCCTCTCTGCAACATTTTGAACAACCTCAGTATTAGTTGCAATAGCAGGGAGGAAATGAGATCCCAACATATTCTCCTTATATTCTTTGATCAGTTCGCCACAATGTTCTCCATCGTTCAACGTATTGACACTCAAACTCAGGAAAACACCCATGCCATTGAGGATGTGGTGACTCGCATTAGTAGACTGGATCAATCATTTCCATCCACTTCCCGTCAGGTCTATGACATATAGGACTTCCACTACCGCCATGGACAGTTTCTGCCATCTGATACTCCGAACTAGGTCAGTTTTTCCCTTAACTTAAGCATTGAGGACAATGCTTGTTCTTAAGGTTAGGGTGGAGTATTCCCTTGTACTTTATTTTTTCATGCATTTTTAGGTTGCATAATATATTAGTTTTTAGTTAATTTGCATTCATTTTTTTATTTTATAAAATTCCAAAAATATTTTATTTTCTTCTATTCGAATTTATTTTTACTTAACATTTAGCTTAGGACATTAGCATGCATGTATTTTTGTTGTCTGTTTGTTCTCACCCCCTTGGATGCCATGGAATAGGTTCATAGTTATTGTATCATTATTGGTCCAAAATATTTTTATTGTCTCACACATCGAACCGGGACCATTAGGCCGTAGTTTGGGACTTCATACTTGGGATAGACTGTTAGAGCCTAAAGGGGTAAGTGATCATGGCCAGGTAGTTTTTATGAAGAATTATCCATGCAATACTAACAATTGTAGGATATACTATAACAATGGATTTTTTACCCTGCGCCCTTGCCACTGAGAGGATCACACTTGATCATGCTTGAATCATGTAGAATCCATATCCGGTCTCTTTACATCACTATTTTTTTTTTGCGATTTCCTTAGGTTTTTAGAGAGTCTTTTAGCCTATATTTATACATTTTCATTATATTTGAAAAAAAAATCACAAGCTTGAATAGGAGCCTACATCTCTATGCTCCATACATGTTCATTTTCACACTTACACCATTCAGATTATGATTTTCTGTAACATCCTAAAAATTCAAGACCGAAAATTTCATTTTTGATTTAATAATAAAACCACAAGTGCCAATCATTCGTGCGGTCACCCCGAGCTCTTCCCTCCACTACCGGAAGTACCTGAAACCAAAACTGAAAACCGTAAGCATGAAGCTTAGTGAGTTCCCCAACCTAACACATACCATGCATAGCCAAATATTTCAAGCATTGGGCCTCGCCCGCTACTTCAGGCCTCACCCGCTACCTCGGGCCCCGACTGACCCCAGGCCCCGCCTGGCTTCGAGCCCCACTTGGTATATAGATCTGTTTCTCTTAGGCCTCGCCCGTCTCTGGGCCTCGCCCACTAAACACATTCAAACATATAACATAATGTATAACAAGTAGCTAACATACTCTACTATACTCCTGATCTAAGGCCTCGCCTATCTTGGGCCCTACCCCTATCCTACTACTGGTGAATCATGAAATCCCATCCATGCTCCTGCTGTTGGTGAGATACGGTCCCCCGCCCACACTCACTCTTCACTAAGTAAGCTTCCTAATCCCACTAGTGGCCCAGTAATGGCCCAATTTGCTAAATTGGGCCCAATCCTTTTAATGGGCCTTACCCTAGGCCCAAAATATAATCCCTGACCAATTAAGTCTGACCTCTGATGGCCCACTATGGCCTAAAGGCCCAAAGTCCAAATTTCAACCCATACCGAGGCCCAATAAGGAAAAGTCCAAACTGGCAGAGTACGTGGGGCGTACTCCTATGTACACTAGGCGTACTGGCTGAAGGCTTGTACGCCCAACGTACAGCCCTGTTAAGCCACTTTTCCATTAAGTGCTTAATACACCACTTCAGAGGCTACCAACTCAGATCCAAGTCCTTTTCCACATCCTAATCCATAAAGTTGCTAACTTGGTGGCTTGCAACCCACCAATAAAGCCCAAACTCAAAATGTGACAACATACTTCCATAACAAGGGCTAAATCTCATGCATAAGCTCATTAGGACCATCAAGATTGAGGCTTTACTGCTTATGGGACACTTTTAGCTCTGAGAGTGGCAACCCCAAGCTTAATGACAAAGTTGCATCATAAAGGTCCATCCTTTGGACCCAAAAAGGTCCAAAGCTCCATAAACTAGATCTAAGCATACTTTAGGAAAATTTCAGACTTTATACCTTAAAATGGTCTGAAATGAAACCACAATCTTGGATATATTGCTTCCCCTTTGATCCACCACCTTGCTAATCTCTTCACTTGCTTGGAAATGGCTTTACAACACCCAAAATGCTCTCTAATGACCCCCAAGGTTTCAAGAACACTCAAGAGAGGTTTAGGGTTTCATGATGGTTGTATGAAGATGAGATGGAGGCTGTTAACCTAGGTGTTATGCTCTTTATATAGTGGTTTGGCCCTAAAATTAGGGTTTCTAGACACTAGGCGTACGCTGGGCGTACGCCTTAAGCACCTGCGATCCTTTTACCCTTATATGTTGGGCGTACCCCAGCCTTACGTTGGGAGTACCCCAGCCTTACGTTGGGCGTACTCACACGTTTACCACCTTACATGCATGGTTCTTATAGCCTTTTATTTCCGTTAGGGGCTATTTCTGTCAATAACTTCAAAGTGTCATAACTCCTTCGTTCCAAGTCCATTTCCAACGAACTTTATATCCACGAAAAGGTGGCGATAAGCCCTACGCTTCTGGTGACATACCCCAACCCAAAACCTCTTGAATAAAAACTCAAAACCCATAAAAGACCGAAACACCCCTAGCCTTGGCCTCTGAAATCCATAAACGTATATTTTCAGAACAGGGTGTTACATTATCTTTCTGTTCCACTTACATACTTTTGGGAACCAAATTTCGAGTCAAAAGTTTTCTTGATAAAATTTCGATATGTTATAGCATTACCTTCAAGTATGTTTCAAACGAAAAAAAATGAGAAGCTCAAACAAGCAAGTTCCAAGCTACAATTATCTTAGATGGGTGACAGGTTCAATTACTGAATAAAGTTTTCTTACATTTTGGTCACCTAACGTTTGATATTCATTTATACAGGTATATTTTATTGTATATAGATTGAGTTGTATTTTTCACAAATTGGTGATGTTAGAGAGTGTGTTGAGTCGAATACTACGGGAGGTTCGACCCAACACTAAGTGAATTGATTCCTACCACGGTGCCAGAGCGATGAACCCAGTCACATATGAGAGTAGCTGACATATGTGAGATCATGCTACTTTCGTGATTAGAGTGTACACTTAAAAGAAGAGCTCCACATGAACCCATCCATCTGCTTTCTCCCTACTATAGAGGTTCTTTATTGTATGCATGTTCCATTGGGGATGCGATTGACCATCCCTCTTTACTTACCTATAGGAGTTGTCCTGGCTGTGGTTTATAGTTCTATTTTCATCGGATGAAAATTTATTAGGAAAATAGCAAGAACAATTACGACCATGTTGAGTAACTATGATCTGGTTCTATGGTTTTATCCATTCTTTTTATTTTTTAGGATAGTTCATCTCCAGTTCATTTTAGTCTTGTCTTACACGAGGACAATTAATATTCAAGCTTGGGGTGATTTAATAGTTTCATTTTATTTACTTCTTTTTATAGTTTATTTTAGTATATTTCGTTCATAATTTAGCTAATTTCCATGCATATTTTCCTTTTTGTTATTTTATGACTATTTCGGGTACTTTCTAGTTTCGTGAGCATAATTATAGATTTTAAGGAGACTAGAGGATCGGGATCTTTGAGAAGCAATTGGACTTTGAGGCCCAAAACTCAAAGAAGCCCACAATCAGGGACCACCCGTGCAACCCACCCGTGCAGGGTCGCAAGGCCGCGCACAGATGTGTAGGGGCATTTTTGGGATTTCATTTTGATAGCTACTTATGGAAGGTTGGTGTGCATCTTTTACACACTTCTACACCTCCAAATTTTGAAGGATTCTCTGGAGATTTTGGAGCACTTTGAAGGCCAAGAACACCTTAAAAACATCATCTTGTTGCTCATGATTCTCTCTAGATGTTTGGTATAATCTACTATTACTTTGTTTTCTTAAGTTTAGGCATGGTAGGCTAAACTAATCTTGGTTGAATTTGGTGAAATCACTTGAATGTTGGTTGAATGTTGAAGAACTCCATGAACTTGTTCTTGAATCTTTAGGAGAATGCTTTATGTTTTAAAATCTTCTTACTACTTGTATGTTTTTATTCATGAATATAAATGTATTGTAGTGATTATTTGGCTAATTTCTTGATTAAGTAATGAATCTTCAACTTAGCAAGGAACAAGTGGTTATGGTGTTAGTTTTTACTTCACACAATAAAAAAAATAAAAAAAAAAAATAAAAAAAAAAAAAACATTTTCTCCAACATGGAAGTGAAAACATTTGACTCCTCTTAGATTTGATCATTTTTTGGTTTTTAATGCTAGTTAATTTTCACTAATTACATGCTTAATGGAAATTGTGACTTTAACTAAGGAAATATGTTGTAAGCTTCTCTAGTTATTTTAATAATTAAGAAAAGTCTAGGTAATCTCAAGCTTCTTGGATTATTATAACCAAATTAGAGATTTAAAACAAGTATTGCACCATTTGATTCTAATGATATGCTCCCCAAATGTTCAAGTGAGGAAACCTTAATTCAACCATCTCTCTCTCTCTCTCTCTCTCTCTCTCTTATTAATTTTACGTCAAACTCTTTCTTTTGTTAAATTGTATCTTTAAATTCTAGTTTAATTGTAATTTCTTTTAAACATTTCAAAAGATCAAAACCCCTATTTTTATTTTATTTTATTTTACAAGTGTTTGTACAAGATTTTTCATAGAAGTAATAAATTGAACCAATCTCTGTGGATTCGATCGCTTTACCATTATATGCTATTTTGTGTGCAATATTAAAGGTATTTATTTTGTTGGCATCGAAAACCACCACCATCATTACCTCCTTTTATAAGGACTAAACTTTACCTCCTTAATGTCCAGAGCCTTTACACAATCGACTTCCGGCCCATGACCCTAAAATAAGAAATGACAGAAAACATGATGTTTCATCGTCGCTATAGTTTATTCTTTATATCTTTTTCAAAAATTAAAAATAATTAATAAATATGGCAGTGATGATATAACTTTGCCATAGGTCTATAGGTTGAAGATGGTCTAAAGCATACAAATGTAACTTTTTACCTATTCAATATTCTTGCGCTCGGAGGTTACACCATGTATAACCTTTCTTGCAAAGTCGAAGTGGCTGCTCTTTTGATTTTTAGGGTACAAAAAGGCATAGTGACAATATGTCGTCACCATAGCTAAACAAAACAATGTCGCTTCATCATTTCATTACACTGATTAAAAATAAAATATTTTTCAAATTTGTTTTTTTGTTGCAATGACAAGTCATCATTATAGCTTTTCAGAGACGCGCCAAAAGTCTCATGTAAGTTGTTGCAACAAGAAATCGTCGACATAGCAAAAAAATATGGTGTTTATTATATCAGTAAACTAATTGAAAGATCTAAATATTTTTTATTTATGTTTTGTGGAATGGCATGCTATCACCATAGATTTTCAAGAAATGTGTCTTATTATTTTCGTTTTGCCATAACTTATAGAGACCACATATGTTGTCTTTCATATAACTTAAGATGTTAATTTTTTCTGGTAAGCGATCAGGTCGCTATATTGCTATCTTTGGCGTTGACTAGGTCACATATATATATATATATATATATATATATATATATATATATATATATATATATATATATATATATATATTCTTAGAGCATCTTCAATAATAAACATACTCTATCATTCAAAAGATTTGTCACCTGGTTATTCAAATATTTTTTATCTTTAATTAAATGGTCCATCCAATGGTTAAACTTTTTCAATAGTTTTTTTTTTATGAATTTTACTTAATAATACTTATCTATTTAAAATGTTCATAAAAACTTCATCATTTAATTAGTTATCTTTAAACATATCATATTTTAATATGAAATATTTTAAATTAGGGTTATCAATAGAAATTAATACATAAACATTTCATAAATGAAAAACTATGATATAAATTATTAAGTAGTTAAATAAATGAAAAATATTTAAAACTAAAATATAATTAAAGGATAAAAATAAAATATGTTAAAAGTAGGAGAAGATAAATATTTAATAGCTGATCATTCAATAAATTATATTAAATAAAAATAAATAAATATAAATGATAGATAAATATAAAAAAAGCTCTAAAATAAATCCCTATTAGAAATGCTATTAGTGATATATATATGACTCCGCGTATACATTACTCTATTGAAATTTAATAATTAACTTGCAAAATAATGAATCACGGGTTTCAGTTGTCCTATCATGCAAGTTGACTTTCACAACATATTCAGGGTTCCAACTTTTGATTTTCTTTACTGATGAAGTTCATATCTGCAAGAAATTAGACATGGAAGAAGCTGAAGGTCATATATTCCATCTCCACTTACAAAAAAAAAAAAAAAAAAAAAAAAAGCATTTAAATCTATGAAAAATTATCTAAACTAGGAAAGTATTCTGATTCATTTTTTTTCCAAAAGTACTGATTATAGCAGCACATTACTGTACACAGACATGACTAATGTGATTACTGACATAAATGTGAGTAGTCTGAATGGTTTTCCAACTTTCAACTATTAAACTTCCCTTAATTGGTTGCTTATTCAATTGTTTATTAAGTATGATTCTTCAATTATGGAGTGAGACAAGATGGAATCTCAACTTACAAATTTAACGGTGAGCAATTAATATTATAATTTCTCATTAATTCCAATAAAAGAGAAAGGAGACGACCTAATATAGCTAGGGTATAAGCCACAAATAATTGTGTGAATAAACCTTTTATATCCTTTTTGATTTTTCATTTAAACAGTTCGCTAAGATATATATCTTCTACATATCTCTAAATCGAATATATTTATGTATATCCAAGTTTTGGTTTCTGTTTTCTTTTCAACTACATCTAGACGAAAAAAGGGTTTGCTATAAACTTGTCGCTGTATTACAATATCTGCATTCTCCCTCCAAAAGCATTGTTCAAAGTAGGTTTTCATTTCTCTTTTAAGAAACGTCAAGATATCATTAAACCAAAAGATTAGCAGGAAACGAGGTTACAGGGGCTGAATAGCAGATCGGGTCAGTCAAATTTATGTTTTCTACTTCTATTCGACATCCAACTAAACGAGCTAACACTACAATCAAACGCCACCATGCTGCAGCAACCTTCCTTTTATTAAAAATCATCCCTCTTTAACATCTACTTCAAAGTAGGTTTTCATGTCTTTGTCTCTTGTATTTTGGTCTCAACCATCTCGTGTGTATATATATAACTTAGCTTAATCCAAACTCAAACCCTAATCGATTTTTTCACTGATTAGGATAATTAGCATCGACCCTTATTCACTTAAGTTCTATAGGCTCAACGAGTAATTAAAACCTAGAATTTAAATCTAAAACAAACTTCATAAGATAGTATATATCTATTGCAAGTAGCTAGATGGACCTTTATTATTATTTGATCTCTGTAACCAGAATATTATCTTCTATAACTGAAGATATGAACGAACAGAAGAAGAATCAAGGGTTGAAGAAAATAACACGTAATCAGAAAAGTAATAAATAATCAAGAATTTAAAATGGCCTCTCGCGGATTGACACTTCTTAGGTTACTAAAGCCGTGTGGTATGTATAGATGCATGACTTTGTTTGCTCTTTCAGAAAAGAATCATCATGAACTCAAAAGCTCCTCTAACAAATCAGATCCTAGATCTTCCAATATCACCAAGTCTTTCTGATGCTTATTTTTTTCTCTCGAACTCGATGACAACGACGTTCTACGAAGTCTATGCATCTCCTTTATAGCAGCTGCAGGAGACTCCCCATCCTTTTTATTACAGTAGTAATTGGTTCCTTTCAAAGACTCCTTGACATCTTCGGCCGGAAAATTGAGAACAGATGAAGGTCCTTTCATTGAATACAATGCCTGATCATATGCCAATGCTGCCTCCTCTGCGGTGTCAAATGTCCCCAGCCAAACCCTCTTTCCGCTTCTGGTTGAATCCCGTATCTCAGCAGCAAACTTTCCCCATGGCCTCCTTCGAATACCAATGTATTGCTTTACCTTGTCGCCTTCTTCTGTTCTCTCTGTATTTGTAACTTCTTTGTGTAGGGAATACTGTTCTTGGGATGATGATGAAAAGTCCATCTTCAACAAATGAGATTGTGTTAAATAAGTCGATCCGTATGCTACAGCATATATAATTTACTAAATTTGCTGATTCACATAAGCAAAAACATTATTTAAGTAAATTATTTATAATAATAGGAATATTTTGGATGGAGGATTTAGAACTAACAACCGCATTAATTACTAAACTTTTTGGGAACGGCCATATTTGGATCATTAATTGCATGTGCCATATGTTCTATGCCACCTAGCATCTAGTCTTGAGTTTACATAGAGTTTACATGAAGTTTTGAATAGAATTTAATCAGGGTTACAATCGGTATACTAACATGGAAGGTGAATGGATGAATGCAAGGTGAAGGAGATGGAAACAATTATCGAAGTCTCGAGATTATCCAAGGTGGAACCATGCCGGAGTCACGTCGATGTTTGTATCAAATCTGCCATCGGAGGTTAGGAAATAAATCCTAAAGAACGTATTTTCTAAATTCGGTGAAGTCGTTGATGTCTACATGGCGACGAAGAAGGATATAAATAGGAAATCCTTTGCGTTTGTTAGATTCAAAAAGGCGAACGATGAACTGGAATTGGAGAAAGCCCTACATGGTATCACACTCGGAAACAGAATACTAGATGTCAATATTGCGAGGTTTGAAAGGAGACAAGTGGGAGGCTCCACTAGAACCGGAAACGAAATGAATCGACATTTGAATCGTTTCACCCAGGCGACAAAGTTTATGACCAAAGACAAAAGAACTTTTGTGGAAGTTGCAACGAGTGGAAGTAAGTCCTTTAGTATCCATCCTCCCCCTCCCACGATGGAATGTGATCCTATTAAGCTTTTTGATGCCTCTCCTCTTCGGGGATGGATGAAATGTAAACACACTTTGATTGGAGAACTCCATAGCTTCGATCATCTAGAAAAGACGCCTTACTCTTTCAAGAATAATGATGGATCCAATTGTGATATAAAATACTTCGGATTGAATATCATGGATCGGTTCATGAATGAATCGAGTAGAAATGCTTTCATGAATGGATTGATGGAATAGTTTAGCAAAGTTGATAGTGGTGACTTAGTTACAATCAATTTGGAAAGAATTGCTTGGATAAAAATTTCGGGCCTCCATCTAGAATTATGGTCGGAATAAAGCTTCACATTGATAACGGAGTCGGTGGGTAGGGTAATTATTCTGTTTGAGGTAGATGTATCTGCCGTGAACCTATCTTTTGGCAAAGTGGGGATCCTAACTGAAAATCCTTCACCTATATCAAGAGAACCATTGGTGGAAGTTAATGGAAAAATAACAAAGATTAGAATCTCGGAAGTTGATTTTGATTGGGTCCCATTCAAATCCATGACGGAGAATTTCTTATGAGATGACGAGGGAGATGAGGACGGGGATGAAGAGGAAGAGGAGGAATATATATCTAATATGGTCCCTATCAACGATAATGACGTTGGTTTGGAAGACATGGAGTTTAGATTCCCAGAGGTTAATGAAGTCAAAGAATCTAGTATGGAAAGCTCAAAACCAAACTCATCTGAAGATTCCCGGTCACCGGAGGTGATGATGTCGCCGGTTGACATTGTAATGAATGAAGAAGATTGGAGAAATGGAAGTGACATTCATGGGGATCGCCAAGACTCAAGCATGGGCATGGACGTGCATGGGAAATCACAGCAAGAAGTTGAAAGTTCAAATAATAATGAGAATAATAATGATGTGGCATATACAGAACTTCCTAGCTATAATGTGGAGAAGAATAATGTATGACCAAATAATGGAATGTCAAATGGGCTCCCGTATAACCTAGCTATTTTCGGATGCTTTGGGCCTTTCCCAAATAACTTAGGCTTAATTGAAAACCAGATGGAAGTTAATTTTGATATTCACCATGATAAACAAAGGAGGATTGTAAGGAACGCGGATGGAACTCCAGTTGACGTATCAGATTTCTCCCCACCTCAACCTAACATTAACCTAAATTATGATCTAATCCCTTCACGAGTCCCACTCCCGAATTCCAATGTTGACTCCCCATCCCCCTCGATGGAAATTAGGAGCACGATGGTGATTGACAACATGTTAGGCTTTGACGAGGACGAAGATAATCCGGTGCTCAAAGATGTTTTTGGTGAAGAAGGCGAGAACAACACTTCCGATGAATATAATGTCATTAAACATTCGAGGTATGAGAGAGAGTTACAAAATTGACTAGGTTCGTAGACTTAGAAATGAACACAGGTTATGTATGATCGAGATTCAGGAATCAAAATTAGGTGTCTACTCCAACTCTAAATGTTGTTGGCTGTTGAGGAGACTTGGACTATGGATTTGAGCAGGTATTTACCACAGGACGATCTGGAGGTCTTGTCTCTATATGGGATTGAAAACGGTTTTCGGTGATTGAGACCATCAAGTCCATATACTTCATCGTGGTTATGGGGAATTTTTTTGGCATAAATGGGTTAACAGGTTTCATAAATGTTTATGGACCTAAATCGAAGATAGATAAATCAAATGTCTAGGATGAATTGCTAGCATTGGAAAACTCTAAATCAGCCACTTGGATTTTTATGGGTGATTTTAATGTGGTACGACGATCGGATGAGAGAATAAAATTGATCTTTTGCACTCGTAACGCGAATGACTTTAATCATTTCATACGTTCGGGCGAACTCACTGATTTGAATATGGGTTGCCAAAGATTTACCTACTTTAAAACTCAGGGAGCTAAACTCAGTAAGATAGATCGATTCTTGGTGTGTAATAGCTTTTTATCAATATTTCCTCTTGCGTCTTACTTTGAAATGGAATGAGATCTCTGTGATCACTCACAAATTATCCTAAGAGCTCGAAATGATGATTTTGGTCCTCCCCCTTTCAAACTATTTAATTCATGGATGATGAAAGACGGGTTTGATGAGAACATTAGGAATACATGCTCGAAATTTATGGGCTAGGGTAACCCTGATATGATGCTTCTAAATAAACTAGAGCATCTAAAGAAATCCAGCAAGAGCTAGAAATTAAAAACAGTGAGGGAGGAAAATAAGAAGATGGACGATTTGAAAAAAAATGGTTGAAACTGAAATGGTGGCGGAATCCAGGCTCTTATCAACAACAGTAATAGAAGAAAGATTAAGTGCGGTATTAAGATTACTAAACATGTTAGAATCATCGCACTGGATCTAACGCAAAGGGCTAGGCTAAAATGAGAAGTGGAAGGCGATGAAAATTTGTGTTTTTTCCATGGGTATCTTAACAATAGAAACAGTAAAAAAACTATATTCATGGGATTATGGCAAATGGTAGGTGGACTACTGAGCCGATGGAGAGTAAGAAGGTGGCTGCCAAGTTTTTCGAAGAGAAATTTCATGAAGTTTGGACTAACAGACCCGTGTTTCACAATCTTGGCTTACGCACACTCTCCGAATGTGATGTTAGATTTCTTGAAGGAGGGTTTACACCAGATGAAATAAGGAATGAAATTTGGTCGTGTGGTGGCGACAAGTCGCTAGGGCCAGACAATTTCATGTTTAAGTTTTTCAAAAAATATTAGGAGCTGCTAAAAGATGATATATTAGGGTTTGTAAAACATTTTGAAGCGAGTGGTAAAATCTCGAAGGTTGCAATTCATCGTTTATTTCTCTCGCTGCAAAAACAAAAGATACAATTCATTTTAGTGACTTTAGACCTATAATTCGGATTGGAGCTTTGTCTAAAATCATTGCAAAGTTGTTAGCCCTCATACTTAAGCGAGTCATTAGTAGTGTTGTAGGGGAAGAAAAATCGGCTTATCTTGAGGGGAGGAACATACTAGAGGGCTTGTTGATTGTAAATGAACAGTTCTCTTGGGCAAAAGCGAGAAGTAAGAGGATGCTCCTGTGTAAGGCGGATTTTAATAAAGCCTTTGATTCGGTAAATTGGGCATACTTAGACTTAATTATGGAACAGATGAAATTTGGAACTAAATGGAGACTTTGGATTAGGGGATGTTTGGAATCAGGGAAAGCTTCAATAATAATCAATAGGAGCCCAACAACAGAATTCTCTATGACAAAAGGGGTTAGACAACGCAATGCACTCTCTCCCTTCCTCTTTATTATTGCGATGAAAGGGTTATATATGGCAATGAAGATGACGGTTGAGAAAGGGGTTTTTGACGGGATTAAATTCCCTAATTCTAACATTTTCTTGTCTCATCTATTTTATGCAGATTATGCACTTTTTATTGGTGAATGGTCAATGTGTCATATCGCTAACACGGCTCGAATATTGAGGTGCTTCCATATCGCATCCATATCGAAGGTGAACTTTATGAAATCCAAGGTATTTGGGGTCGAAGCTCCGTCTCTTGAAGTTTTGAACTGGTCATCCCCTCTTGGATGTGAACCATCCTCTTTCCCGTTCACTTATATTGGTATCCCGGTGGGGAACAATATGAATTTGAAAAAAGCATGGAGGCCGATAATTGAAAAGTTCCACTCCAAGCTATCTTCTTAGAAAGCGAAATTGCTTAGCTTTGGTGGGAGAGTAACCCTCACAAAGGCGGTCATGGGTAATTTGCCAACTTTTTTTATGTCTATTTTATGGTCCCGAAGGGTGTCATTGATACTCTTGAAAAAATAAGGAGAATATTCATCTGGAGTAAGGAATACAACAAAAAAAAGCATTTGTTGGGCTGCTTGGGACAAGATTATTGCTCCAAAAAAGTGGGTGGTATTGGGTTAGGCTCGATATAATCACTGAACATCTCCTTATTAGCAAAATGGTTGTGGCAATTGAAATTAGATAGTAGCGCATTGTGGGCCAAAGTCATTAGAGGTGTCCAAAATTTAGATGGAAGACATTGGTCTTGCTTCCCCAGTAGTACCAGTAAGGGAGTGTGGAAGAACATAACAAAAATCAGGTCTATAATGACGAAAGTCAACACTAATTTCAAAGAGATTGTATCATGGATTCTTTATGAGTTAGATCAGAGACCAGTTTGAAATTGAGGGCCATATTGTGTGTGACGGACCCTTTAACTAGAACAAGATGATCCCATTCAAAATTCTCTGCTTCATGTGGAGAGCGAAGCGGGGCAGAATCCCTTCAGCAGTTGAACTTCAATCCATGGGGATTACAATCCCTTCTACTGTGTGTGGTACATGTAAGCAAGAAGAGGAGACTAGTGATCATATGTTGATCACATGCCAATCGGCGAGGACTGTAATGAATGAAATCCTTAATTGGTGTGAAATATGGTGTGATAACTTTAATTCAGTAAGGGACATGCTACCATTTATATCGAGATGGTACAAGTGCAAAAAAAGGAGAAGCTTGTTGAACGTAATTCCATGTGGGATTTTGTGGTGCATATGGATTGATAGGAACAAAGGGATCTTCAATTATATTCCCGTTATTCCGGTGAACACAATGGAAAGGGTAAAATTGTTATCTTTCATTTGGTGCAAACACAAGGGGGCCATATAAAAACATTGATTGGAGAATTTGGAACCTATGTCCGTTTCTATGTTTGTAATTTCTTTGTTTCCCATTTTTTTCTTACGTTGTACTTTCCTGTCCGCGTCATCTTGATGTAGGCTTGTTTTTAATATATTTTCCGTTTTCCAAAAAAAACATAGAGTTTACATAGAACAACAATTACCATTCTAATATTAAAATGGTTTTTTTGAAGCGGAAAATGCAATATAAATATATAAGAGGGAAAGAACAAGCAGCCACGGTTAGCAACTAAGACATGGGCTTAACTACAAGTAAGTGTAACGAAACAAAAACATAAACAGATACGTGATAGAATTCATAAGATGAGAAAAAGGAGAACAAAACTAGTCTGTCCAGCTGTCGCAACCTTCCTTGCTCATGTGTTTGCACCGTATATATGATAAAGATATAACATTGTCAGCTACTTTTGTGGACGAAAGTCTTAAATCCTTGTAAATTCTCTCGTTCTTTGTGGTCCATACATTCCACCAAAGACAATATAAATTTGAAATGAAGATTTCTCTTTTTCTTGGACAATTACCCCACGAGGCTGCGAAGTTGATTACTTCACGAGGTGAAGTAAGCTATTGAGTTTTAACCCAACACCATTTAAGCATCCATTCATAGACTCCTTTAGTGAAGTCACGGTCTAGCAGAAGATGATTGGTAGTTTCCGGTGCTTGACTGCATAGATGGCATGTAAGGTTGAGGATTTGTACACCTCTTTTTGATAACTTAGAAGCCAATGTGATTCTAAACAAGGAAGCTCGCCATACAAAACAACGGACTTTTAATGGAATCGTATTGGGCCAAGGCACCTCGGTACCTTTGTACGAAACGAGTTTGGAATCTATAGTTCTCCTTATTTTGTTGATAGTGTATCCACCATCCAGGGTTGCCATAAAACGAAACCCGATTGAGAATTAGAATGACACTTCCATTGAACCTATGGATGAGTATAGATTTAGCAGATTTGTTAATGAAATAGAATCATTTGGTTCATGTTTCCACATTCAACTAAAGCCAAATGCTGATAGGCGATCTTGAAGGTAACAATATTTAACCTTTTCTAGATTATATAAGTTTGGAAATTGGGCTTGAAACAGAAGATTCCCACACCAAGTATCTTTCCAAAATAGGATATTGACCCCACACCCCGAGATAAGTTTGAAAAACTCGTTGAGGTCATCAATGTGCGTGATTACTTGGTGGATGTTACGCCAAACACTAGTGGATGATTTCCTTGCAATGTAAGTTGTTGGTTTCCTTTGAAGATTATGAAT